AAAACATTCCTTTATTTTTGAAAAGAAAAAGAACTGCATTCAAAGATTTTCAAAAAATTTTCGAAAATTCTCTACCATACTACACAATTTCCTGTACATAACTAAAATAATTTAAGATTTCATGGTTTTCCTTTCATTTGATTTATCAAGTTTGTTAGAGAGATTTTATCCGTATACTTAACCCTAACGATCGATGTAATAAAAATAAAGGTGTAATTTTTAACAGATTTTAGTTGGTTCGATTCCCGGGTGTGGCAAGCAATTTTTTAGAAATCTTTGAATGCAGTTCTTTTTCTTTTCCTAAATTCCTTTGAGTAAAATTTTCTACTACAGTATTAAGAGTACTTTCCCTCCAGGTGGCATTACAAAATTCCACCCTGTATAAGCGGTTGCAGACGCGTCTACGTTCCTCATCCTCTTGGCTCTAATAATTTGTAGTGTCCTTCAGTGCCAGTAGCATACGTGGATTATTGCCTTTTCGTTTTAAAATTTCGTCTCAAAGGTAGAAAAAATAAGAACCAGAGTGACAGTAACTTAATATACTATATTGGTCTAATAATAATATTATTTTAAGCAAGCTATAGGCACGCTATAGTTCGCGCAGCGAAAGTTGAGGCGATCAACACTAACAAAGATTTCTATCTGCATACGCTTGTCGCGCTGAAATCTTGCATAATTATTCTGACTGATTTGTGTTCTTTATATTAAATCAGTCTGAGTATGTGTTCGCCTCAACTTTCGTTGCGCAACCTATAACATCCTACATAATGGTATTTATTATAGTTGCAATAGGTGCGATATTGCAACCACAATGTGAATTCTGATTTGCTGTCCACTGTACATTTTTTACATCCTTATCCACCCTATTCCTATACAGTAGTAGGTAGAAAATTACGCCAGCAACTGGCTAATATTTTCTGTCCGCAAATACGTTACAACTTGATCATGTAATCACTCAAGGAAAATAAGCAGATACTGGCGTCGCTTTGTAGGTTGAAGCTCTAGACGTTTTCTTTTCTCTATAATCAACTTTCGGTAAAGTGACTATTTTGTTTTCTTTTCCTCTAATATTATTTGCGGTCATGTCCGTATTTTTTTGCTTGGAAGTAGTGTCTGAAAATAAAGACATGATTTATTTAACAATAGATTCATTTCTAAAAAATGTAATTTAAATAATTAAAATTATATCAAAACTTGTTTAAACACCTTTTGGAACATTTTTATTGGTGTCTTCTGTTGCAGGCTTCAAATATCTTGGATCGAGACCTACTTTTCCACTGTTTTCTTGAACTTGGGGACCTGGACTTTCTTCTATATTTGATCTGAAATTTATATAAATTATACATTTTGCTGCATTATTTTACATTTTTTTTAGATAACTAGTAAGTAATTTTATCTACCTACTACTATCTACTTATAAAAAACTTCAAATGACTTAAAAACTAAACTTTAAAATTTACTTTTACCTAGAAAATAAATCTTACTTTGAATTCGCATAAAAATTTATAGACATGTCAGACATCTCAGACACATTATTTTGACTGCTTCTTGGTAAAAAGTAAGGGGTGGAACTAGTTGCGGTGTGTATACCATGTCTATACTTTTGATGAATTCCATCGGCCGGCGCACAACTGTCTTCCATTTTTTTATGCAGCCATTGAATAACTAAAATAAAAATTGTAAATATTATTTTTGTAAACAAAGGTGGAAATAAATAAATTATATGATTATTTTACCCATATTATTATTTTTTATTGTTTCATCTCGATCTTTGAGGGCTTGCTCATTAGATTGATATTTTTCAACTAGAGCATTAAGTTCTTCTTTTAATTTCAGCATAGTCCGATTGGTGGAGTCAATTTCTGATTTTAAATCTTCCATTTCTTTTGTGTACTTCTCAATAACTTTTTCTTGTTCCAATGCAATGGCAGTTCTACATAGCAACTGTGGACAAAAATATAACTTGTAAAATACTTCTTACCATTATAACCATGAATAAAACCCTACAACAAATACATAGTTTATTGTTAATTATAATATTAAGTTCTGACTTCGCACGCCAAAGGCGCGCGCCGAGGTTAGCCTACTTATTTTTCAGATTATTGTTTTTATACCTTTTCCTTCATTTCTATGAGGTCACAGTTCTGTTTTGAAATTATTTGATTGGCCTTCAAGAGCTGTTCTGATGTAGAATGTGCAGCTTCATTGTTTTTGTTTGCCAATGACTCACTTAGTGCCAAACGTTCTTCCAAGCTGGCCTGAAAATATTCATTAATAATAATAATTGTCGTATAGTTAGGAAGTTCTTGCAGGACGACAATTCCCAAAACCCCAATCCAGCAAACGCGGCTCACTTGGCCTAGGCCCGTGAGTCAGTCGTCAGTACCGAAGAAATCATCTTCGAGGATTAATAAAACTCATAAAAATAATAATATTTAATTCATTTTCGTATAATTATCGAGTTATTAAGATAGGGAAATTATCACAGTCATATGAGCTAGGTGAAACCCTTGAGAAAATGCAGGTAAGGATATTGTATAGTCCGCGCGGAAGAGCTAGGCACCGCCTGAGGTAGGTGCGCGGTGAGACACTATGCCGTTGACAAAGCGCAAATCTTCTCAATGGCGCGCCCTCCCCCGTGTCACCGCGCACCTACCTCGGGCGGTGCCTAGCTTTCCGCGCAGACTATACCACAAAAAGCTTCTTAAATATATTATCTCTTACAAACCTTTTCCTTCTTTATGATTTGAAGAGATGTGTTCAACTCCTTTATGGTGTCTGCATTGTCTTTTATAGTCTGTAAGAAATAGTGTTATCAAATAGATAGATTTAAATTTAAATATCCTTGGACATTTTACACTGTGCTTCTAGTCCCAAACTAAGCAAAGCTTGTACTATGGGTACTAGACAACGGATATTAACATACTCAAATACTTTTCTTTGTAAATACATAAGTACTTATTACATAGAAAACATGTTATTATTTGAGGGTGTTTAATTTTATTACCTGATCCATATAGACACATTTACTACTCAATTGTGCACACAACTTTTCTTTATCTGAAATGTCTCTTTCTAAAGATACATTTTTTGCTTTCATCGTAGCTACTTCTATGTGAGTTTTCTGTACTTCAGTTTCTAATACATTCAAACGTTGAGATTTGTCACTGTAATTATCATAAAATAATTTTTATAATTTAAAATAAAAGATATAAAACCAAAAAATAGTAATGCATTTGAAAATAACTACAAACCTCAACTGATTTTCCAGATGTAGAATATTTTCCTTGAGTTGTTTGCAAATTGAGTTCAATTCATCAATTTGTCTATCTTTTCTGTTCAAGTTGTCTTGGGTTACAGCAAGCTGATTGTTTGAATTTAATTCAGCATTCTTTTGCCATTGCTGTCTTTCCTAGATAACAGTCATTCCATTTTAAGGAGACTTGACAGTCAGAGCAAATAAAACTAAGCTTTGCCTACCAGTATAGTCCAACAATTATTTACTTTTAGAAAATAATGGCGATTATTATACACCCAACAGGAAACCAACATTTTAAACAAGACTTCTTAAACTACTTAAAATTCAGTTAGGTTACTCAGAAAATGTGCATAATCTACCTGAAATAATCTTTCTTTCTCCTGTTTAATTAGATCTTGAAACTCCATTTCTTTCCTAGCTTTATCTTCCTCCATTTTATTTAAAGCATGAGACAAGTCATGAACTTTCCGTTCCAAATTTATACATTTATCGTTCCAAAGTGCATCACTACTTGTAGCTGCATTTTTGTGAGCTGATAAGGATTTCTGAAAGTTGGATTGTTAATTAAATTATTAGTTAATCATACAATTTTAGTTATCAATGCTTAGTCACAAATAATCATAAGTTAAACTAACTTTTAAATTGTTAATTGTTTCAGCCATATGTTGCTTGATATCCGCATCTGTAGCCGGGCCCGTCCGTAATGACAAGTGTACTAATCGTTTGAATTCATTATGCTCCACAATCTCAAAAAAGTACTGGATCGGGTTTGTTTGCTGCATCTGTAAAAACCTTTAAAAAAACTATTAGATTAGATAACCATGAATTTGTCAAATGGGTATTAAAATGTATGACTACTTACATATTATTTGAAGCACTTAGTTGTAATAATCTAACTAGTTGTGATGGAAAATTATCGAAGTCAATCAAAAGACCCTGTTGCTTCTTTAACTCTTCATAATCACTGCGAGTAATCGTAAGAACGCTTAAAAATGCAGGGTCTTCTTCATCTGATAGAGTAATTTTCTGAAATATAATAAAAAGCTCGTTAACTATCTAATTAATACTTGTTAGCATTTCACTAATAAGAAACTTACGAACCACACAATCCTTTTCAAAAACTTTATCGACAACAACGATGATATCCTTTTTGTGTTCGTCAAAACCTCGTTTAAAAGTAACATAATATTTGCCTTTATGAAACATATTGTCGAATCTAATCAAACTTGTTTTATTTTATGTAAAATCAAGTAAAATGCTGATGGGTTTTGTTTGTTGTTGGTGCCGTTTTGACAGTTGACTGTTTATCAATTTTGACTTTGACTAACACAGATGAGACAGGGTTTGACTAACAGTTTTTTTTTTCTTGTGCTTTCAGGCAAAAATTATCCTTGAGATACGTTCAATACGATTATAATACGATACGTTAAGTACGAGTTCCAAAGATTTAATAAATACTACGATGAACCCATGAAGTTTTTTTATAATTTTATAATAGCTTCATCACATGGATGAATGAACCTTTTAAATGGTGAAGTTTCTTCAATTAGGTAAGAAAACACGCACGGCCCAAAAGAACATTCTCTGTAAAATGGATTTTTCAAATTAGAATTTAGAATGGTCCTAGATAAATTATATCATCTTCGACAAATATTTATGTAAAAAAGTTGTACTTTGACACTAATGACATGATTGACTGACAATTTGAGCCGGTATTTTGTGAAGTTTTGGCGGACTTATTTTTTTGTTCAAGATTACGCATTAAAACAATACAATTTGTTTAAAACTGAGTGTTGTGACCTAGGTTTGATCTTGACAAAATAAGTTACTAACCAAAATGTGGAATGGTTAGTCAAATATAATGTTTTGTACGCAATGCGAGAATGTTAAGTTCCCCACATGTTAACCAAGTTGTTTATCTAATTCTAGATCAATCGGTCGTTGGAGGAGGGTTTTTAAACTCGCCAGGTCAATTTGGTGCCACTACCACTCCTGGTCAAGCCCAAAAAACTGTATGTATAGTGTTTACAATCACATTGAATATCTTGAATTTTTACATAAATTATTATCTTCTTTCCAGAGCCGAAGAGTTTCACGTACAGCACCTATAGTTATCAGACAGGCCTTGCACTGTGGAGATGATGGAGTTAAGATTTGGGGCACTGAAATCCAAATTGTGTCAATACTTGCTCGTATTAGAAATATTCGTATGCAGAGCTCCAAGATTACATATACTATTCAGGATATTACAGGGAGAATGCGAGCAGTCTTATGGATTGATCAAGAAGCAATGGAAGAAGATGTAAGCTGTTGTCTCTACGATTTAGTTTGACTATCTGATTTATTATAGCTTTACATTCCACATTTTAACAGTTTCATTCAATTAATCTGTATCTCTCTTATTTGTGGCCCCACTTGTGTTGGGCTTTTGACTATCTGATACAATTTTATAATTCATGTTTATTTTACCTACTTTGTACTTACAGGATAAGTCCACACCAAAGGTTCAAGTAAATGATTATGTCCAGATTTTTGGAAATGTTAAAACAAACAAAGGCAAAAAGGTTCTGATGGCATTCAAAATTATGCCAGTAACTGATGTCAATGCAATAACTTTCCATTATCTTCAGTGCATCAACAATAAAGTGAAAATGGAGGCAGATTCTAAGAAAGTATGTATTTAATTAATATTAATTAAAAGAAAGTTAATTGTAATGTAAATTATAATCCCAAAAATTTCAGGAAAAAGTTGCAACTAACAATCCAACATTTACAAGTGGATTACCAGCCAACTCCATGGTTGGAATAAATGAGAACACTGGCTCAGTGAATGGATTGAATCCACGACAGATGATGGTCTTCAACTTAATTAGAAGCTCAACTCTAGAGCAAGGAATCAGTAAACAAGACATGTACGCTACACTGAAAGACCGAATGGCTCAAATTGAATTTGAGTAAGTTCATAATACATTATTTATTCATAGATTTTGTTTAGTGACTTAATTTTTAAACAGTAGAATAGAATTTCTGAAAATATATCAATACATAAATAATGATAAATGTCCCTTTTCAATTTTAGGAATATTCTGGAATGGATGTGTGGCGAAGGCCATATCTACTCTACTATTGATGAAGAACATTTCCGTGCCACAGATGCTTTCTAAAAGTATGCTGCGACCAGATTTCAATGTTTCTAACAATACTGCAGTCTGAAGTAGTACACTTGAAATCCATTCAATGAAGTGTAAACTGTTATAAATGAACGTGTGCAGTGTTGTTAGTTATGTAATGATTGTAATAACCATGTTCAAAGAAGCCTTATTATTTTTTATTCAAACTGTTTCAAACAAAAATAAAAAATCCAAATCAGTATATTTTTTTTATTTCATATTTCCATAATATTTTTAAATTACAACTTAGAACACTGTATTCCTGTAATGGACAAAACACATAAAAAATAGACAATAAAATCATGGAGTTGGAAGCATCACCAATCAGCGAACATTTTAAAACTAGAGAATGTGAGACTAGGAATGTTTACAGATCTATAACTCGTCTCGGACAGCTTTGTTCCGAACATCAGGGTTTTTGCCATTATACGTTTGGCTCTCAAGTTGAACATCTTTCAATTCATCTTGTTCCAAAAAGTACTCTTTGGCAGCCCAGGCTTGAGATCCATCTTTGAACATGAAAATTGCTCGGTCATCATCAATGAGATACCTAAAAACAAATTCATTATCAAATACACAAAAGAAAACAGGTACCTACCTAAGAACAAGGAAAAAAGTATCAATGTATAATCCCTTACCTATCTGTCTGTATATGGTTACTCCATAAACCAGCCTGCCATATTTTGGTCAACTCTTCCGTTCTAGCTTTAGATGGTTTATTAGCTACTGTAACGAACATCATCAACGTTTGACCTTTTTTAGTGGCTTGTAGAACCGATTCTGGACTACTCATGTCCAATTTAGTCATGTCTATGGAAGGTGGTTTCCGCAAATATTCTGGTAACTCATCCTCAGGCAGCGGTTCCTCATCTTCCTCCCACTGATCGAAGAGACTGTCAATTAAAGAAATACGATAATGTACACAGATAGCTATGTAATTATGACTTTTATCGGGCAAATATTTACATAAATTTATCTAAAATTACCGTTCCATGTCAGCGTCAGAGAAATCACGAATATCTTTCTTAGCCCAATCCGGTTTTTCTTCATTATTATATTTCTTAGCTATGCTACCACTTAAACATACTATTAAAATTACTATAAATAATTGATTCACCATATTTACGAAATATAAAAATTTATAAGATTTTGTTTGCCGCAAGTCTACGCGAAACAAAAATCAACTAATGAATGAATGAACGAATGATGAGATTGATGGATATTTTTTCTAGTGATGCAACATAAAATTTATCTCGATAGCCTTTATCTTGAAATTAGCAGTGTCTGTTCACTATACAATGTGTCCGGGCATGTAGTGATCAAACTTTAAGGTAGTTATATTAATTTTATTGGCTATCGCATGATATAAAATATTTGCTTATTAATGTTAAGTTACCCACGTTTTCACTTGTTTTTGAAGGAAGAGGTGAAAACTAAAAATTAAAAACTTAAATCCTCGTATTTTTGCAAGAAATGGGTCAAGCCCCAAATTTGAAGTATTTTCATCGATAAAATTGTCCATAGATTACGCCGTTAAAGTTTAATCACTAGACATCGGATTATATGCACTATCAAAATGCCAAAATATGCATGCAAATATGCACTAAAAAAGGGCGAAATATGCACAAAATATGCACAATCAAAAAAACATTATTAGAATTAACTTTATTTTCACAATACATAATTAATTAATTATATAGGTACTTATTGGTTGTAATTCTTGTGACAATATAAATATATTAATTCTTGTGACAATATAAATATAGTAAAAAATATTAATAGTGACAATTTAAAAATTATGTCATTAACTGCATTTAAACATGAATTTGATTTATATGTTTATATATTAATTGTTTGTTAAAAAAAATGAATTTTAGCGAATGTTTTTCGATAATAAAACGCAAATCCAGGAAACGTTTTTATACGACCGGTCACTTTTCGGTCTTCATNTTTTTATTCAAAAAGGTAACATTTTTTTATATTTCTGGTAATTTCTGACAAGACCCGACTGGCAACACTGGTACGGATCGCTCTCAATGCGCTCTCGCAGTGCGTGCGAGGGCGATGTGTTGATGTTTGGTGTGGGGACGGCGGCGAAGTACAACACGTCTAACACGTATAAATACTAAAATAAGCACTGTCAATGAAAAAGTACCAAAATATGCAATAACGCTATAAAAATAGCATTATATGCGTTTGCATATGCAATAATGCAAATGCATATAATCCGATGTCTATTAATCACTATAAGGCCGGACACACTGTACAGGCAATAGTTACAGAACCAGCGTACGTCAGCTGTTTTGACCAATCGTATCGCAGAATCGATGAAGCGCGTCTGGATTGGAGACGTTAAAAATTACCGTAATCGGGGCTCAGGTGGTAAATTTGTTAAATAAAAACATTGTGGATTTATTACAAAAAGTTAAACAGACGTTGAACACTTGTTTAAATTGATATTTATTATGGAAATGTCATTATAAACACGTATTTTTCGTCTAAGTTTTTTTGTAATACACAATAATCTCGTTCAAATGGTCTTAATATTATGACAATTCTGGGGATAAGAAGAAAAATAATGAAATGCATGTACATTTGTACATGTAACTATGTGAGAAAATAAAGAATGTAGCTCAATTTGAACTAGTCAATGCTATGCTCAAACCGAGTATCCTTCACAAGACCAGAAAAATATACAGGGTGTTAGGTAAATGGGTATATGAGCCGACACTAGCCCTTGTTAACATATGCATATAAATGGTATGGTGAAGTCAGAAATTTGATATCATAATTTTAATTTTTTAATTGTTCATACAAAATAAAATTTATAAAATCAGATTTGTATGAAAATTAAAATAATTAAAATGATGATATCAAATTTTTGACTTAACCATACCATTTATATGCATATGTTAACATGGGCTAGTGTCGGCTCATATACCCATTTACCTAACACCCTGTATAAGGAGATCAGTACGTAATTATTAATCTAAAAAAAGATAAAGTGGGCAGAAGAATACATAGAGTAGTAAGCACTCTAATCAGTTCTGGCTGTTCCATGGTGTCTGACGACACGTCAATAATGTTCCGCTAGTCCTACTTTACCCTACCTTTACCCTACGGTGAACAGGATACAACGGTGCATGAAGTTTTGCCACATCTAACTAAAATTAATTATCTTTCAAAAATCAAAATAGTTCATATTATTATTAAGAACAATTTTAGTCAAACTAATTGAATAAAAACATCGAATCGAATAAAACGATAAGTAGGTACTGAACCACTGACTCAATGGTGGATTGGTGGGTCTAGACCAGGGTTTCCCAATTTTTTTTTTGCCAAGGAACTCTAATTGATTATACTTTTCCTAGCGGAACCCCCGTACTACTCCGCCCGCACGCCCTACCCCTCCCTTGTGCGTAAACAAGTCGGTGCGCGCGAACAACGTCGGTCACGATACGTGGGATAATATTTTTTACGGAACCCTTGCGGCCTTTCCACGGAACCCCAGGGTTCCGCGGACCACCTTTCTCGAACCGCTGGTCTAGACAAAGTGCATATTATAATCGAAAAATGGTTGAAAAGTCTTTTTTTGTATGGAGCTTATGACAGATGACATTTGACTCAATCAAAAAGTGCATTGTCTAGTCTAGGGACCCCCCTCTAGCGCCTAGGTACAAAATTAAGGTAAAAATAAACTCGATAGTATAACGATCGATAATAAGGTGCATGACTATAGTCGTATTCATTCATTCTTTTCCCAATTCCATTCATTCGGTGGCGTGGTACCATGAAGCTACAGATAAAAATGGAGGCCACACTCCGAATACCTACTTGAAGCACAAACTATGTATCACTATCTCGCTCTCTGTGGGCAGACTCTCTTTCTAAATTAACAAAAAATATAAATTTGCTCAAATTCAATGAAACTCAATGTAAAATCTTTATTTCTTGACATAGGTATCATTAAAAATGATAAGTGTAAATACTGGTAAAACGTTTTAGGAAGAAATTACTGTGAAAAATGTTTACAATGATCCAATGTCGGAAATCACGAAATAAACACTTACGCGTGGAATCTTATGTCACTTCCAGGACACCACGTACTACCGCAACCACGCACTACAAAATTTTGCATCATTTCTTGTGATAAAACAATGATTATTTCCTGTAAACAATCTCAAACGAAATTAACTGCATAATAAACAAAATAGTAAACAACCGCCATGATGGGCCGGATTGGGCCGATGTTGCCACATGGTACCGATTCCCCAGGAATTGGGATTGTAATTCCATGATTCGCCAACACATTAAACCTAAACGGCCGACAATTTTGTGATTTTTAATTCAACTAGGTAATCGTAGTTCAAATATTTAATTATTTATTTGTTTAACTTATGATTTGGTTAGTGAATTGGCTATTTCGAAGAATTTACTAGGAGATTTAAATCAGGAGATAGCAATACTACAGTTCACACTAAAAAGAGAGGTAGGGCCACAGAGAGCGAGATAGATATAAGTAGGTATTTGACTCAAGTTTTTGTTCCAAGTTTGCCCTCCATTTTTATCTTTAGCTTCATGCGTGGTACGTCAGTTGTCTTTACTACTCACCCACGTCATTCATAAATTCATTCACACATACGAGTGTCATCTGTCACGACGTGCCAACGTCATGTCTCGTTTTTAAAATTTCTTGAATAATTTTTATGGAAATATGGACATATAATTGTTATAATTTCATTTAGGCCGTGTTATTGCCTAGTTTACTTAAGTTTGTGTAGAATAATACAGTGAGTGAATTCGTTTTTTATTTCTGTGCAATTTTACAAAATTTCGGGGGTCGATTTCATTAATCTGAAAGTTGCAGTCGCTATCAATAAACAGACAGAATATTGTGTGCCCTTGTGCAGTGTAGGTAGGCACGATGGACCAGAGTGGCATATCTCCGAATACTTCGAATCAGCAGCTAGTTATTAACAGTGATAATGAGTCGGCGACGGCGTTGCTGCAAGAGAAGCAGGCGAGGAGAAGCGAAAGTTTGAGGGATGTCACCTTCGTCGAATACATGACTGTCGGAATACTGTGCTTCGTCAATCTCATCAACTACATGGACAGATTTACCCTGGCAGGTAAGTGACCGCTCATTTATTTGCACTACTCTGCTAGTTACCTGGTTACGTAAATTGTCTGGTTACCTTGACTTATTCATTACAAATAACAAGCTAGTTATGTATTTCACAAGTTACTAAAATAAAGTCAGTTGAAACCACTCGTAAATTAGAAGAAAAAATCTAAACATTGACCTAATTTTGATACTTGCTCTGAAGAGATGTCAATAAACTAAATGCTGAAAAAGTGTAACACATCATATAGTTATCAACTAATTGAATCTAATCTTCTAACAAATTTCAAGAAAAGAAGTTACTTTGATTACGAACATCTAACATTTAATTTGTACACAATTTTAAATGGAGTTGTTATTAAGGAACATTAATTAGTCACAATATAACTAAGCTGCTGGTTAGTTGGTTCCAATAATTTCAGATTTCATCTAATCAAAAAAAGGTGTTAATAGAAGTGTTTTTAATGCTACAAGTTTGCTTCTTTACATCATAACCATGGTTATAATATCATAATAGGTACTATCTGTGGCATTATACATATTTATGGTTTATTTTTTACCAATCTCACCACTTTTATAAGCTTTGTAAAGATGAATCTGAGTTCTAAATAAATATTGAGTTGAAAATTCTTATTGGGATCCAACTGTAAAATATTCACTCTAAATGTTTTTCTGTTTTAAATTTTATCTGATTGCATGCAATGAATTATTTTAAACTGATATCATTATGATGGATGAGTGAGCTGCAATTTCACCAAGTCCAACTATTTTCATATTTAGATATTTTCATGTTATACTAGTACCTCTTCCTGATTAGAGGCATGTATGTAATGACCAATGAGGTCAGAGGTGCAAATCACTATCTTGAAAATGGAATGTGGAAGCATCCAGCCAGACATGCAATTACACTTTATTATGACTACCTACATGTGTTATGACTTGATTATTATTTATATTAACTAGCTGACCCGGCGAACTTCGTACCGCCTTAGCGTAGAGATTTTCTTTATATTTTTTTCCGTAAAAACCTTGTACAGAGTATTAGAAAACTACAAAAAAAAAATCAGCCAAATCGGTCAAGCCGTTTTCATGTTATGTCGTGACAACGGAAAACGGGTTTCATTTTTATATATATAGATTAGGTTTAGAGTTATTTAATGTTTATGTAAGTACTTACCTATATTTGTTTAATATTATTATTAGCCTTACTGGCCTTATTCTAAAATCGTAACAGAAAAATTGTTAAAAAGCTAATTTCTCCTTACATCAGTGGTAATAGTGCTCTCAATGTCTGTATTAATTTTAATCTTATGATTCCCCGTATAAAACCAATAGTTATGTAATTATGAACAGTTTATTATGCTTCAATAAATAAGAACACTGGCAATGAAAAACGAAAAAAAAAATCATTTTCGAGTTCATGTTATTGTATCGTTTTTATGTGCGGCGAACTAAAGCGAGCGTCACAAAATAGATGCGCGTTGGCGGCTGGCGCTCGAACGTGCTATCCCGGCGTGCTACGTCAGCGACCGCGCCACCAAACGATCGGTATTCATTGGCTGACTACAGTGGCTACGGCTATGTGTACATTAATCACATTACATTGTGTAGCGTGGTGTAGCGTTGCGTAGCGTCATGTCATTAACTTAGGATACCGCGTTACCAACGCGGATTTTAGTGATACATTACTTCAAACTGGCTAATAAGTGATAGTAGTGTACTCACACCCACCATCATTGTCATGTCTGATGTAGGTACAAGATATTAACTTCTGTCTTGCTGCTATTAACCCTGGTTAACCCGTGACTACTCTCATGGGGTCAAGCACAAGTAACACAACACAAAACATAAAAATAATTAAAATTTTGTATTCTTACCCTAAATTAATAGACAACAATGGCATGTATCCTATTGTTAGATATGTTATGTTTATAGATTGAAGATGAAGACCCAGTTTAATCCATAGTTATTAAATCGGCACGTGCGTATTTTTAAATAAAACTCACCATGATATCAAAATACTTACATTGATAATGGTTGGTTATAAATATTTAATTCAGACAGTACCTATCGCTTCTTAAAAACAAACTACATATAGTAGTTACAGTGGTAATAAAAATCTACCCTGTTTTGATGGAATGTCCAAAATTTCCTGGAATAGTCCCCAAATATTAACCCGCACGTATCAAGTCCTAGTTTTGTCCTTACTTGGACTTCGTTCGCCAGTAGTGTCTCTAAATTCTCCTCCTACCTCGGGGTCCGTCTCGCCGTGGAACATCCGATGCTGATTATGATATTATTATTATCCAAAATTCAATAGGTGGAAAGATTGCGTCAGTCTCTGTTTTAGGTAAGTACTTTAGCGCGATATTGTTTGATTTTAATATCTTATCATGATAAAACACTAAAGCTTCCATTGATAGTAAATTTTGCTTAGCAAGCCAATCATGCTGTAATGACAGAAAAACATCAGTGTCCGGTCCGTGCATTAAAGTACACCTACCTACCTATCTTTTTAGTTAAGTAGTTCTGTTGTTACATTACGCTACAAAAATAACAACTTGTGTTGCATTGCAACTGCACGCAACATAGGTACCAGACAATGAATGTTGTTATGCCGATTATCGTGTTGATAAACGGATTAAGTTGCTTTTATCAAACTTCGCTTTTCTCTTTGATTTATTATCTAATCTTTGTAGTAACTGGAATTAACCTAAGTTTAAGCTACAGTTACGAAATTTTCGTTTAATCTACAAAATCCTTTAAGTTTATCAACTCTGGGTTCCGTATTTGTCCACTATTCCACACTGCTTGGTATGTGGCCCATTGTTTGACGGGTGACTTGCCTATGTGACGTGATGGTGCGCATTCACGGGCAGCCGTTAAATTGTTCTCAAGCACGAACCGACCGATAATAGGATTGAAAGGTGCGTGGGCCAGGGGACTTATCAATCGTACGAAGAGTCGCCGCGTCGTAAAAGAACCATAATAATTGAAATCAAATTGAATAACATTTTATGGTTCGTTTAAAACGCGTAAAACCTTTGCGTTAAATTTATTCAATCGTAGGCTTTTCTACCTTTTAATGTGCAACTTGTGCAAGTAACTTTTAAGTGCTTTTAATGTCGTAACACCAACCTCTACACGTAGATCCTACCTACCTATAAATTGTAATTGACTCTGATAATAAAAGGTAATCCAGAAGTTCCGGAACAACTAAGTTTCTATTAACACTCAGTACCCACCCAAGTAGGTTTTTAGAGAATTTACAGTTCCGAAAGTTGCGACTTGCGACTGTGTGGGCGGCGTGCGCGACTCTACAAAATCCTGAGCTTTTAGCTTACGCATCAGAATCATGATGTATAAGGAGCCACACAGTCAAAAGCTAGTATTTTGTCACTTACATTACTTATGCCCATAAATGTCTACTAAATGGTTGTTTGTTTCAATGCGGAGAAAGACTTGAACGCTTGGGAAGGGCCGATGTCACGTAATCAGAGAACTAATCTCCAATGTCTGCTCACGTGCGGTGCGCGCTTCAATACTACAATACAACGTGCGTGTTACATTTTCCAAACCACTGACTTCACATCGACCACATTCATTGGGTGGGAATCCAAAGAATGTAGGTACCTAATCGATTTTAGTTTACGTAACATTCTATTACTTAGCAACAATTTATTCATAGATTGTTTGTAGTAAGGCTTTCCACTAATAGAAGTGCAAGCCGCATACATATTGCAATGCTCTCGTAAAAAATCGTTCTGATGACTAGGGTAGGGTAGTAGGCGTTTTATTTATCCATCCCTAGCCACGTCATAAAACAAATGATATTGGTTTATGGAAGTTTTTGTCGAGGGGTTAATTTCCCTTGGGACCGATCAACAAGTTGCCACCGCACTAAAGTTGTCGGGGACTACGGGGACGTTATCTTGATTAAAATCTTTAAGTAATCAAAGGACTAATTTGCTACAAGCAAGCTGCTGTAGCGAAAAAATATTTACAAGGAAGTGGAAAATTGTCAGCTGCCCAAAGTTGGTTTTAATCGTTCGTTGATGATGCTGATGTTGATAGCCCGTGCATAATTTTTTAGGCCATTAGAATAATTAGTTTAACAAGGATTTTTTTTTCTCAGGTCTTGATTTGAAACTAACACGGTGATAATATACCCAATAAAGTTTAATGACATTCGGTAACTTATCGTAGTTTATTTATAGTAATTTGTTAGCCAAGCTAATAATAGTACAGAGCAAATTACTAGGCTAAAAATAGGATATTACTGTGCATGCATGTCGACTGTGGCCGTTGTATCACATAATCATATCGTAGTATTATGACGATAGTGTTTAAAACTAAGTAATACCTACGATAATTTATCTGTTATAAGATTCATCTCTGTTTTATTTATTAAGCCTACCGGTTGAGGAAGGTCGCGAATTGCGCTAATTTACTGAATCGTTTGAGTGATAACGTTAAACACACAAGAATATACACGAGTATTATGATTCATGCAAGACAAAACGTCTATCGATATGGTAAACGAGATGACGTATGATAAATTAAAAAATGATTTGTCATCATCGTACCATTGCATCGTCGGGTGATGTGGGCTTCTAAATGACTGAACCTTGATTCTTATGATTATCTTTGTACCGTGAATTAATAGGAATATAAGAAAAATTATTTTGTCATGTCATTAAATTGTTGTCATTATATCCCTCTGACTTAATAAAGTTTCTCTAGAAAAGCGTTCGGTAATACTCTATTCTTCTGGTTCATCTGTAGGTTTCTTTATATCAGCCTCGCCTTTCGTTTTTTCATGGAGTTCGTTTGTCTCATTCCTTTTATTTTCTTGATGATTTAATTCGTACTCTTTTTTTTTTCAATATCTGGCGAACGATTCTGGCTGATGTAAATTTTTCTCTTACTCTCTTTCTCTTCGGATTTCGTTTGGCGAGGGGCTATCAGCTATCACGTAACGTTTGTGATATAAGTACACACTCCCAA